CGGGATGATCAATTCTTCCCGGATAATCAGCTCATCTACTCTTTATCTCTAACTACTAGGACCTAGGTAAATATGGATACTAGATAGAGGGAAGTACGAGGTGGTCTACATCGGTACCTAGTACTCGGTCGGGCTACATAAACAAGAGCGGAGACTCGTAGGTTTGGCGTTTATGTAGCCTGACCGAGTACTGAGGGAGAACGACCCACCTGGAAGTTGAACCGACCTTGATTTACTACCATCCACGAGTTCCGAGCTGTGGCAGATCTGCGCTGCAGTTGTCGCGAATAGAGAGCTAATAGGAGGGCGGTTGTTGGTTCACGAAGATACCGGCAAATAGGACCATGTAAACGGAAGCCATAGTATAACAAATGACTATCAGAAGAAGACAAACATATAAGAGAAAAAGATAGAAATGGGGGGAAGGGAACAAAAATAAAGGCGGCGCCTCTTCACCCGCATGTTGAGTGTTTATGACCCCTGCAGACCAGCATGGGACGACTGGAATGCGGGCATGATGCAGAAACAGACGGCATGCTGCAACCTCTCTGCGGCGTTTCGGCATGGTGTGGGCGGCACATGCCCCGAGCCTCAACACTGCTGCTCTGGCCAGGCAGCAGGTGGGAAAAGCGCTCCTTTGACCGCAGTCCGGACGACGGAGTTGCGGCAAAGGTTTCAAGGTGGCGATCTCCACAAGCTGAATTCGTATCGCCATCATCACTCAGAAAACAATATTTCAAGAGACTCATAATTGTGTTTTAATATACTAGATCCCGTCTCGCAAACCCGGTCATGGAACACAACTTGGCAGAGGTGAGAGATCGACCGGTAGTTGGAGAAATCTACCGGAATGAACCGCCAGTTCCTGCTGGGGGGAAGATCCATCGTTTTATGCGTTGCAAAAACCAGGCCACAGCGTTGTGTTTTGGATGCAGTGTTTTTTCCTTCTCGTGTTCGAGCACCCGCTAAAAATAATGCTGGCGTGACACACCCACCAATGCCTTCGTCCTTCGGCAGCCCCGCCCAAATACGAATTCCGTGTTGGCTTGGGGATTTCCGGGCATTTCAACGGCAACCAGGTCGACCAGGGTCCCTCCCAGCGCCATCAGGCCCAGGCTCAGCCCGGACCTTCCGTGCCTACCATTGGCCGGCACGCCCCGAGCGCATCCATCAGTTGGCCAAGCACTCGTGGATCCTGTCGAGTTGATAATCTGACTGGGACATCTGAATTCCAACCGTCTCCCGATCATTGCATCCTGGCTCTGAACGCCATCGGACCCCTCGTTACAACCTGTTTCTTCAGCAACCACACTCGCTTCCCATCCGAACACTCGTTTCGTCAGCTTTTTCCTCAACCGCAAACCCTACGCCTTTGACTGTATCGCCGACTCTCCGGTTCGTCCGGTGTCCATCGTCTTGTTTTTCTCCACGCCATTCCGCGCGGGCCTCATTTTTGGCGGCCAATAATAGGGGCTGCCCCAGCACACGCCGTGTCACACGTCCTTCCATCGTCCACGAAGGCGATCACCACAGATCAAATTTTCCGGTGTCGAGCGAGAATTTTTTTAGGCCGGACTGAACGGTAGTTCTTGGGGATTGAACTACTGGGACTTGGTCCACGGCGTCGACCGCGGTCGTTCTCGTCGAACCCCCAACACGTCGCCGTCATGAAGGCTCCTCTCTCGGCCGCCCAGTTGGCCGTGGCCTTGCTCTCCTTGACTCCCGCGGTCTCTGCATTGGCATGGCCAAGGTGGCTTCCGGAGCTCGATGCGCTCGTCGTCCGGCAGGACGATAAATCTCAAGTCGGTATGCATCCGCCTAGCGCACTCTTTAATTTGAGCTTCGACCTAACATGCCGCCTGCAGACTCCTCTTCACCGACACCGACACCCTCACCCTCCAAAAACGACGACAATGAGACCAAAAAGACCACCAAAAGCGGAGCGATGGAGCCCGTCATGACAAACCTCAACACAGGTGGCATAACGCAGAGCGAGGCAACCGGCACGGGCCGCATGACGGGCAACAGCACCCGCACCAGCGCGCCCAAGAAGACGGAGTTCGACCCGCAAGACCCAGTCGGCGGCGTCGTGATGGTGACGCCCGCCGCCATCGCCGGCTTCCAGCTGTACAAGATCGGCGAGTTTGTGACGCTGGGGTGGAACTACACCAACCTGCAGGCGACGCCGACGGGGATCGACCTGTACCTCAAGTACAGCAAGGTGCCGCAGCCGTGGACCATCACGCAAAACATGTCGTTCGCCGACGTCGGCACCTACACGTGGGACACGGAAAAGTTCCAGAAGAGCAACGTCGCCAACCCGCTCCTGACGGAGCAGTACACCCTCGTCATCGCCGACGCCGACGGCGGCATCAGCGCCACCCCCGAGCCGGGCTACCTTGCGCCCTACGCGGGCTTCATGTTTGGCCTGTACGAGAAGCAGGATTACCATGATACCGGCGATGGATGGCAGTGCGCTTCGTGCAGCGGTGCCATGTCCGGGTTGGACAATCGCGCCGTGGGCGTTGCGGTGACTATGAGCGCTCTTACTGTTCTCAGCTTTACCTGGTTTGTTGCTGGGTTTTAAAGCGTTCCTTTTTGATTTGAGGGAGAGGAGGGAGGGTGATAGCGGATATGCTTTATAATGTGATTTAGGGCTTGGGGATGGCAGCTGATGGTCTGTTGTTACCGCTAATATGGAGTGCAAAGAGCGGAAAAGGGCGTTGGATTGAGTATCACTTACTGTTAGCATTTTTCATTTGGATCATTTTTCCTGGACTAAGGCTCAAAAATCTTTGAACAGAATGGGCATCTGTTACATGTATTTCTTAGTTTATGACCTTTGCATATATATTGGGTAGCTTAATGGAGCATTATCTTATGACATTGTGTTGCTTCTACGCTTATTCATGGGGTTCCGTGAGCATTTACAGCCAGCTTTCCTAGAGAGCAGGTAGCCACCCCCCTAAACCATCCGCAACGAGAACCCCCCTCCCCTCTCCTCCCTCTCCCTCCCCGAGAATATCCCGCTAAAATCCACGGCGCCAATCTCGGCAGCTTGCTGCCCTCTCGCGGGCGCATTCGGCGTCTCCCGCCTCCTCCTCCTCTCCTGCCCGGCCTTGCTCGGAAAGGTAGGGAACATGGCCTCCTGTTTGGGTTTGGGATCCTGCTTGAAGTACTCGTGCGCCAGCATCTCTTTTGCCGTCGGCCTCTTGTCCGGATCCAGCGCCAGCAGGCTATTAAACAGCGCCACGCCGGCCGCGGTCAGGAGCGGGAACCTGGCGCGGATGGCGGACCCCCCGGACGTCTGGGCGGGCAGCCGCAGGCCGCGCGCGTTGGGCAGGCGGCGGAACGACGGCCACGTCTCTTCGGTCGGCACGCCGCAGAGCTCAAAGATCTTGGTCAGCTCGTCGACTTCGTTGCGCCCCTGAAGGAGCGGCTCGCGCGTCAGCAGCTCGCCGAAGATGCAGCCTGTGCTCCACATGTCGACGGCGGCGCCGTAGCGGGTCGCGCCGAGGAGGAGTTCGGGGGCGCGGTACCAGAGGGTGACGACGAGCTGGGTTAGTTTGGGCGGCGGGTCGCCGACGTAGCGGGCCATGCCGAAGTCGGCGATTTTGAGCTGGCCGCGGTTGTTGAGGAGGAGGTTGGAAGTTTTGAGGTCGCGGTGGAGGATCCAGTTGTCGTGGAGGTAGGCTACGCCCGAGGCGAGTTGTTGGAGTAGGGTTTTGACTTCGGACGCGAGGAAGGGCTCGGGCATGTCCTCGAGGATGGACTTGAGGTCGTGTTCGAGGAATTCGAGGACGAGGAAGATGCTGGGAGGGCATATTGGATTAGCAACAGGCCCCTGAGTTTCTTTTCTGAGGGTGGCCATACTTTTCAATCTTGCTCGTGTCGTCACCAACGACCACCTCCCGGAGCTTGACCACATTTCGGTGGTCGCAGTCCTTTAGGATCTGTATCTCGCGTAACCCCGTTACTGGCAAGCCCCCGCGGTCTTTGGGGTCTATCTTGAGTCTCTTGAGCGCCACCACTTTGCCCGTTGAGAGCTCCTTAGCCCGCGATACCCAGCCGTATGCGCCCTCCTCGATGTCGTTGAGCTTGTCGTAATTCTCGACGCTGCGACACCTGCCGAACACGCCGCCTTCGAAGCGTAATAGCTTTGGGGCACCGTTGATGCCTTGGGGTTCTCCACCCACTTGTTCTGTCTCGCGCTCTGGTGATATCTTTCGTCGCTTCGTGGGGGGTCCGTTTGCGGTGTCGCCCTCTTGTTGCGCTGCGGCGGCGGCAGCTTCCCGAGCTTGCCTCTCAGCTTCGAGCTTACGCGCCTTTTCGGCCTTGAGGCGCTTCTTTTCCTCCTTCTCCTTCTTCAGTTGCGCCTCGAGTGCTGCGTCCTCTTCGTCGTTGGCCCAACGGGACTTGGCCGTGCTTGCCATCGCATCGAAGAGTTGTCGCCTGTGTAGAGTGGTGGGTATTTCAGGAATTCGGGCGGTGTCGGTTTAAAGGCCCGGGGCTCGCGATATCGTCTCTGGCGGTCGTCGGTAGAAAAGAGCGTAGGGCATCTCGGTGTTTGGGTGGATGGAGTGTTGCGGCAACCTTCCCTGCTCTGTTTGGAGACTTCCTGCAGTGGTTGGTCAAAGCTTGGTTGCTGAGTTGCAGCAGCAGGAAGCAACTAGCAAGGGACGGCAGGATGCCATTCGCAGAAACCTTCACATCCACCTGCTTCAATTTCGCTAAATAATTAAAACCGAAGAAAGGTCCCTAAGATAGGCCCCCAAAAAGAAGCAGATCTTGAAATCACCAACTTGGTGAGCCTCTTCCGATCCCTAACCCTCCGGATGTATTCCGTACATGCAAACAGGTATTGAGACAGTGCGGCCCGAGCAACTCCCACGCCTGTGAAAGGGACATGACATCCCGATTTTAAAGATCTAGCAAAAAAGCGATGGTGTCGCACGCAGCAACAAAAATAGACATTGGGGTGTGCGAGGAAGCAAAAGCAATGACCGACCCAGGGATCGAACCTGGCACCTTCTCGGTGGAATTACTTCCAGTTGAGTCCAACTTTGTGAACGAGACGTGATAACCACTACACCAGCCGGCCTTGTTTGACAAGGGTGTCCAAATTGAGAAATTATCGCGGGGTTAGTGGGGCAGTGCTTGGCTCGGTGTCTGTGGTAGCAGCCTTCAACTTTCCCCATCTGATCTTGCAAATCCACTATATTGGTGTGTACTACATGATGTAGCTGCCGTGGATTCTTCCTAAGATACTTAGTAACAAGAACTCATCCAAAGATTCCGTCTCATGGTTGGGCTTGCGTTGGTTTTTGGGACAATTGGCGATCATGGAGGGGCATCCCAAGCAAGACCAATCACCGACCAGGAACAAGGTTGAACGGGTCGTGCGCTAACGTAAAGGAGTGGGCACAGCCTCGCCAAGCAATTGGACCTGATCCATTCTGGAGTTACCTTCATCTCCAAGTGTTGACTTGTCTCGACCCCTAAACTTTGGAGCTGCAAGACAAGGAGCTGCCACCACCAACCTTTCTCTACAAATCCGCTGCTCCTGGCTTTTCGTTCTCAACATCTCGATCCAATGGCCGGCCGATTTGTGCGCGCGTCGAAATACCGTAGGCTTCCTTGGCCCCGCTCGCGTGCTCCGCTGCGCTGCGACGGGGAAAGCGGCATCGCATGCGACGGCTGCTGACCGACCCTCTGACCAGGACACGTCTTTGGAAAGTCGACCAAGAAGGAGTTTTGCTACGACAACCTCCATATCAGCCGCAATGCCTGGGACACGAATCTGGTGAAGGTACTTACTTAATCCGCCTCTTACCCTGCTCTGCCCCGCTCTTCAGTGCTTGTCGCATCTCGAAACTGACCGCTGCTGACTGCTGACCATGCTGCCCTCGCCAGGTCAACCCCGAGTACCTCTCCGTCAATTGGGAGTCAGGCGGTGGTGGCGCATTTGCTGTCATTCCCCTGAACGAGCGCGGGAAGGTTCCCGACCAAATACCGCTGTTCCTAGGCCACACTGCCGCTGTGCTGGACACGGACTGGTGCGTCGCAAAAGACAAAAGACAAGAACAGGGTTAACCCGCCTATAGGAGCCCTCATAACGACCGCATCATTGCTTCGGCGTCCGACGATGGCAAGGTCTTTATCTGGGAGGTGCCGCAAGGTTTCACTCTCCACACAGATGCCGAGGAGGTTTCTCACGTCTCGCCCGTCAGCAAGCTGGTTGGCCACTCGAGGTGCGGACCATACATACTACCCCCAGCTGCTCTATGGTTTTATGCTCACCATCTCGTAGAAAGGTCGGACATGTTCTCTTCAACCCCGCCGCCGAGAATATCCTCGCTTCCTCGTCCGGCGACATGACCATCAAGCTCTGGGATATCACCACTGGCCAGGCTGGACTCGCTCTTAAGCACACCGACATGGTGCAGAGTCTATCGTGGAGCTCAGATGGCTCCATGCTGGTGACCACCTCCAGAGACAAGAAGCTGCGTGTTTGGGATGTGCGCCAGGAGAAGCCGGTGCACGAGTATGCCGGCCACGAGGGTGCGAAGAACAGCCGAGCAGTATGGATGGGCGAGCACAACCGCATTGCCACTACCGGCTTCTCGAGAATGAGCGAGCGGCAAATCGGTCTGTGGGAGCCCGGCCGGAAAGACCCCATCGGCGGCTTCACTTCGCTTGACTCCATCTCCGGCGTCTGCATGCCCTTCTGGGGTAAGCCACCCTTGATTGCCCTTGTTTGCGAGACAATTTCTAACCAAACCTTTTGCTGCAGACGACGGGTCAAACTGTCTGTATCTTGCTGGAAAAGGGTAAGTGATTCCATGACTTGCGGCAGGCGATGAATGCTCATTTTCCCCAGCGACGGCAACATTCGCTACTTCGAGTACGAAAATGACAAGTTCGAGTTCCTGTCTGAATACAAGTCGGCCGACCCCCAACGGGGAATCGCTTTCCTGCCGCGCCGCGGCATCAACCTCCACGAGAACGAGGTGATGAGAGCCTACAAGACCATCAACGACGCATACATCGAGCCCATCTCTTTCACCGTGCCTCGCCGCGCCGAGACTTTCCAGTCCGACATTTACCCTCCCGCCGTCGGCCTCAAGTCGGCCATGTCCGCCAAGGAGTGGTTCGATGGCAAGACGGGTGTTCCGCCCAAGATCGATTTGGAGAGCGTCTACGAGGGCAACGCGCCGGTTGAGGTCGCTGCCGATTACAAGCCACCTGTAGTCACGCCGGCTCCGGCCCCGGCGCCCGCCCCGGTGGCAAAGAAAGAGCCCGAGCCGGCCCCAGCTCCGGTCCGTTCTCCAGGCACCATGACCGACCAGAAGGCCTCCATCTCAGCCATGGCCAACAAGTTCCAGGACAATGAGGAAGAGGAGGAAGACAGCGACGATGACGCCGAGACTTCGAGCTTCGAGGAGATCTCACGGCCCGCCCCGCGCGCCACCATCCCCGTCCGGTCTCCCGTCAAGCCGCAGCCCGTCACGACGACTGTCCCCGCTGTCCAGGCGAAGCCCGCGTCGCCGATCAAGTCGCCGCACGCCGCTGCCGCACCTGTCTCCCGTGCCGCTTCCGCCACCTCCCCCAGTGCTGTGGCGCCCTCGAGCCCGGCGGTCGAGGCGTCGCTACAGCAGATCAAGCAGCTCCTCGAGCAGCAGGGCAAGGTCATCACCGCTCAGAGCGAGAAGATCACGTCCCAGACACAGATGATCACCCGTCTAGCGACCGAGGTCGAGACGCTCAAGAAGAGGGTTGGCGCCGGCACGCAGGACCAGAGCGAGCGGATCCGACAGCTAGAGCTGGAGTTGGAGGCTGCCCGGTCTTGATCTGATCTACCAATTAAGGGGGGGGCGGGAAGGCTGAAAACCGGAGAGGTAGTTTCGCTACGATGATGTTTATGAGCCATGGGCGGTAGTACTCCGCATGTCATGATAGGAGGTACGGTACGGTACTAGTCGGAAAACTCGCGTTGGCTTTTTTTCCTGGACAGGCAGCCGAACAAATACCCAAATTTATACCTGACGACAAAGTTTGCGTGGCTTGAGTGGTGCCGACATGGAGCCAACGTATATATGGTTTATAATCTATCTCTAACAACCGACACTATACACTTGATATCCTACACCCTAATCTGTATGTACACCCTAAACCTCGCCTCACCTCGCAACTTCAAAGCTCATCAACCACCCTCACCGCATCATCCCCCTCAGGCTTCTTAGATTCAGCCACCAGATGAGGAAGAGGAGCCCCACCACCATAAACCCCCGTATCCCAAACAACCAACCTGCCCCTCCGCCTCCAGTCCTCGTTAAACGCCCCGTTCCACGCAGACCACACCCTCTCGAGCCTCACCCCCATCCCCTTCCCAGGCCCTCCTCCTCCCTCATCATCATCAAAGAAAGCCCTCAACACCGACTCGATGCCCTCAAACCCGACAATATACCGCGGTATCTCCCCCCCGCGGCGGCGGCGTTCTTTACCCTCGCTGTCGTCGCTGCTGTCGTCGCCATCAAGAAGAGAAAGAGGAGGCCAAATCTCGTCCGCCAGAAACGACACCCCGTAATCCTTCCGGCCCTCGGGGCCGGTGGGGAGATAGAAGCGGTCTGCCTCGTCGAGGTAGGCGTCCCGCTCTGGCGAGCCCGGCGCGGTATGCAGCGGTGGTTCGCAGGTCAGTGCGCGCGCGCGGAGGGCGGGGTAGACGAGGTGCGAGCGCCAGGGGGTGGAGTGGCAGGGGGTGAGGAAGAGGGCGAATAGCTCCTTTTTTTCGTTTTCGTTTGAGGCGGTGGTGTTGTTGGTCCCGAGGGTTATTGTCAGGGCGTCGGGGTGGAGGCGCTCGAAATCGTTGCGGAGAAAGGTGAGGACGGAGAGCGGGGCTGGTTGGTGGAAGAGGGAGAGGTAGCCGGCTAGGAGGAGGTTGACCGAGAGGAGGTTGATGAGGGTCAGTTTGTGGCGGAGGGTGACCGGGCTGGTGGCGGGGGCGGGTTGGGTTGGCGTGGACGGTTGGGTGAAAAAGATGGTGATGTAGGGCGCTGCGAGGATGTGCAGGATGGGGAGCAGGGGGTATATAAAGCGGACTTCTTTGTGGGAGATGACGGATAGGACGGCTATCATGGCTAGTGTGGTGAAGGCGAGAGTTCTGAGGGTGTTGGATTGGAGAGTGGAGAATGCCTTGGATGATGAGGTCGCCTTGTAGAGGCCGACGAGGGAAAAGGGGAGGAAGGTGGTCGTTAGCAGTGGAACGCCCTGGGAGAGATAGTAATGCCAGGGCATGCAGCCGTACAGCACGGCGAGGGACTGCGAGATGTTGAAGTACAGCCACTTGTACGGCGGGAAGGTCCAGAAGCCAAAGTACAGGCGGTCGGATACGACGGAGATGGCCAACACTGCCATGCCACACACGACAATTTCTCGGAGAAGCACTAGGAGGGTCGACGCGGTCAAGGGCGTTTGCCCGGCCAGACCTAGTCGAGTGAGGGAGAGGCCCAGGACGCCCAGCCATATAAACAGGTTGGTCGGCCGTAGCAGTACGGCGACAGCTGCAAGCACAAGGGATATCCGAAGACTGTCACAGCGTTAGTCCGGACTCGGCGTGTAACCTTGGTAGAGCTTACCTGGCAACCCTGCCATTCTGTCGCAGGGGCACCTCGTCGCTCGCCTTTGCATCACTAAGCATCTCCCACGGCCAGTAACACAGGGCGGCGATAGTCAGGGTTGTCTCCAATGAGTTGGAGAATGTCCTGGTGGAGCAGTACCACTGCCAGGGGTTGAGTACCGTCATCCAAAGCTGAGAAGGGTCAGCGTTGAAACTGGGACGTTGTAAGAACCTCAACTCACTGCAGCCCAGGGGGCATTGCTCTGTCTACCATAGATATCCATGGCTAGCTTCCAGGTGTAAAAATCACCCAAGGCAGCGAACACGGACTGCAGTGTGGTAGGCAGGGCCACGAGGATAAAAGCTCGAAACGGCGGGTACAGCTGCAGGAAGCTCATGACGCCATCTACAGCCTTGTAGGCCAGGCCAAAGATGGCCGGATGAAGAGACGACCTGAGCTGGTGTTGCCATTCCTGGATTGGGAG